TGGCAAGTCACAGCTGTGCAGATCAGGGACAGTCAGAGAAGGTTTTTAGCCTGAATTGTGTGACTGCTCGAAACTAGAGCTAACATTAACACTGATCAACATTTGAGAAGCTTAAAGTGTAACGTGTAATAAAGCCCTTAAGGGGAGATTTAAAAAATGCTTAAGGATCAGATCCTGGTTGCTGAACTAGGTGGCCTAACAGGACTTAGCAGAATACAAGCACTTAACTCAGTATAGGCCACTGAGAATATTTGCACCCCAGTTTACACAAAACCTTTTATGTAGCTAAGTTTTGGCTTGAAATGATCTATGTGTGTCTAAGCTCAGGCTTCTGCACCTCTGACCCAGTCAGAGCAGATGGGCACCTAACTTCTATTGTGATCCAGAGTGGAAGGGGAAAAGCTCCTTAACTCTTCCTAAGTTCACTACTGTAATGAGCCAAGGCAGATCTGATGTCAGGCCCCAACTAAAAGTAATTAGGCAGTCAGACTGAGGTCTCAAACCCAGGGCCTCAGCCCAACTAGTATAGTAATTGATCCTGGTCTGTCACCTCCATGACTAGGTATGCACACTAGACAGGTGGTTGGAGGCTTAGCCACCTGCCCACTCCCTGCCACTGGCATGGCTGGCCAGGGTCAGCTGACCCTTTCCCCCCTTCCCATATAAACCTTTGACCCAGAAGAAGTGTTTAGGCAATAGGGCTTAACCTGTACCTAAGCTGTTTTGGTGTTTCTCATGGCTTGTGCCTCTACTGGCTCTTCCTGATCCCTTGGCTACCCCTCAGACTCCATGCTTTTCCCAACCCTCTGGGTCTGCGACTTGGCTTCTTGAATGGACCCCCTGGCTCCCAGATCCCCAACACTCATGTCCTTCTGTTCCTGGTTGTTCCCTCAGGGACTGAGTGACTCCCAGAGCTGGCCACCCCATGACCTGGTGCGATAAATTGCCTGGACTGCATTCAGTGAAGGGGGAATGGCATGGAGCCTCTTTGCTTGCCAGGGCCCCTGGACCTGCCTGCCTCAATGACTGCCGCTTGGGGAGAACTGCAGGCCAGATTAGATCAGCTGGCCTCTGCCTATCATGTACTGGAGGCCTGGGTGCAGCAGTGGCTGACAGAGAACCGGTCCCTTCAATCACAGGCTGCATACCAGCAGGAGGTCAGCCAGCACTGCTTTGACAAGATCTGCCAACTCTGTAGTGAGCTGCTGTGCTACTGACTCATTCCAGGGAACCTTGCACATCCTTCCCCCTACCCGAGAGATACAGTGGCAACCGGCAGTGCTTCAGGGGGTTCCTCATGCAATTCTGCCTCCACTTCTTAGCTCAAGCTGGAGCCTACTTGGGACCCAGTGAAGGTGAGCTTGGTTACCATCCTCCTAATGGGAGATGCCCTGAACTGGGCTGCACTGCTGCTAGAGCACAATAGTTCTGTTCTACAGGACTGGGAAGCATTTCTCAGGCAGTTTTCTATCTCATTAGATGACCCCCACACTGAGCCTAGATGGCAGAGACTGTTGGATGAAATCTGCTCCAGGGAAAGGGCTCTCCTGCCATGTATGGCTCCCTTTTCTGCTGTCACACAGTGGACATTCAATGGGGGCTGCAGCAGGAGATAAAGGACGAGCTTGCTCAAATGGAACTTCCCCCAGGGTTTCATGCATTTCTAGACTTGGTAATCAGGATTGACACCCATCTCTAGAAGTAGAAGGGGGAGAAGAAGGCCTCCATGACTTTCTCTGGGCCCTTTCCTACTGCAAGTACCCTTGAGCCAAGCCAGTTGGTTGACAGCCACTCCTTATGCCTGAAGAACAAGAGTGACACCAGCAGCTGGAGCTGTGCCTTTATTGTGGGGCCCTGGGGCTCACCAGTTGTCCTAAGAGATGGAATCAGAGGAATGAGCCACCTCAAGCTCCTCTCACTAATGCAACATACAAAGCCCTCAGCTGCTGTTATCCATCCACATCCCAGATCCTGGGGCAGCTGAGGCAAAAGGCCAAGCCTGAGACTACTGAAACCATAGGTGGCTCCTCTCTGACATCTGGACCCATGGAATGGGAAACTACCACTCTAGAAAATGAACTTCTTTAGGTACTGGGAGATGCTGTGCTTTGGGATGACCCACGCCCTGTACTACCTCTTCATCTTGGGGCTCCCCTTGCTCACCTACCATGACCACATGGTCAGGTGGAAAGCCTAGATCTGCCAAAAATCCAGCCCCTTGTCACCAGTACTGCTGGAAGCCTGGGGTGGCAGCACACCCCGGGATTCAAGCTGGGGTCCCAACTATGCTTGCCTCCAATGGATGCTGCTTCCAGAAGCCAAACTCAGTCTTTCCCAGAAATATAAAACATTCATTAATGTATTTGAGAAGATAAATAGGAAATTCTCCCCCAACACCAAGACTATGACTGCCCAGTTGGCCTGTAATTGGGACCAAAGATCTCATCAGGGTGTAATTATGTCATGTCAGAACCTGAACTTTCCACCCTCCATAACCTGGCCTGGGGATTCATATAAAGATCCACCTTACTTTTTGGAGCCCCTGTCCTCTTTGTCAAGAAGAAGGATGAAAGTCTCTGCCTCTGTGTTGATTACTGGCCCTAAACCAGGTTACCATTCATAACTAGTAACTCCTGCCTCTCATCCCAGAGTTGTTTGACAGTCTCAAAACTGCCTGCATATTTATTAAACTTGACCTCCAAGGAGCTTACAACCTGGTGCAGATCAGAGCTGGGGATGAACATAAAACTATATGCTGGGCATAGTTCAGGCACTTTGAATGTTTAGTTATGTCCTTTGGGATCACCAATGCCCCAAAATCATTCTATCACTTTATTAATGATGTGCTGCAGGACATCCTAAATCAATTAGCTAGATTTACTGGTTCCCCAACAGTCAGATTCTGCATACTCCTTCTGTTTCTGGTTGCTCCCCCAGACCCTGACTGACTTTCAGACCTGGCTGCCCATGACCTGGTGTGATGTGGGGGCCTTTATAAGCTCAGACCAAACAGCAGCAGGCTGTCTGGACAACAGACTTGCGTGCTGTGCCACTGGCCTGCTTGGAACTAAACCTGACTCCATGTGTGACCTCTAGCTCTAGACCCTCCCGCCTGTTTCTGTCTTGGACCTCCCAGTCTGAATCAACTGCTTGCCCTGGTCACAACCTCATCTTGATTCTTGACTTGATATTCTGGATTGGACCGATACCTGATTTTGACCTTGGCTTCCGGTCCAATAACCCTCTGACTTAGCATGATCCTATGGCCCAGTCAGCCTTACAATGATCTGGTGAGTGTGGCCAGTGCCTATTGGTTACAGCACCCATCCAAGAAGTGAGAAACCTGGGGTCTATATTCTCACCACCACAACCACCAACCTAAGCGGGTTGAAATTCACGTAATTTACCATCTAACAGAGGACTCCAATGATCAGACTATATAGAACAGGATATATAAAAGCATATGAAATCGGGCCATTGGGAGAAAGGAATGCAAGACAGTAACAGAGAGAGAGACCAGGGGGAGACCCAAGGGCTGGTCTGTGCTCCCAGGATTACTTTTTTTTTCTTATCTAGTGCAAAAATTCATACCTAGTCCTTGACACAGGGATCTCTTCCAAATGAATCATAGGCCATCATAAACTACAGAGTTAGGATCTCATTTGTTCTCTCTCTCTAAGCCCATGATTTTTTAATTTTTGGCTGCACAGTGGCCCAAGAAGAGGAACAGGAGGCTTCCCCCAACTATGTTACAGCCTGATGGCTTGGGTAGCCTTTTAGAAAATGGGTGGTGTGGGTTTAAATCCTCTTCAGGCTGAGGAGGGCCTGAAACCCAGGTCCTCCACTTTTTGCATGAGTCTCTAACCAGTAACATGCAGGGCAAAAAGTGGGCAGCAGCAGGTAGACACCTGCTTTCAGAAGAGGATTTGGTTCACTGGATCCCAGTGGATGGAGGCATCTTAGCAGCCAGCAGTTAGGTACAGAGGGGATGTGGGAGTTCAGACACCTTCCTGTACTTAATGATTGCTTTTGGCTGGTTCTAAGCAGCTTCCCACTTGGCTTCTGATCCTTAGGATTGTCCTCTGGTGGAACCAGTTCTCCTCATCAGCTATATGGGAAGTGTGTTCCTTTGAATCACCAACCCAGGGCAGGGTGCCTCACTTCTAGCTGTTGGAACCCTGAATGGAGATGCCTATGGGCTTATCTATTGCATAGCCACAGCAGTAGTTCTTGGGGAGAAGAATACTGAGCATGCCCCATCCATGTCCCACCTACCTGAGTCAACTGGCATGCTCCAGATCTGGACACTTACCCATGAAGCTGCTCTGGACTTGTCCCCAGTGCCCACACTTGAGCCCTTGGTCTCTGCTGGATCTGAGAGTAGGTGCTGGAGAAGAGTTCAAAGCAGGTTCATGGGCAAGCTTCTGGGTCTGGTACACATCAGTGAACTTAGGGGTGAAATGTATTCAGTCCCCACGAGACCCACTACTGATGTGGTAGAGAGAAACCCCCAAGGGAAATCAGGAATTTTTGCGTGTAATGTAGTAGCATAAGTCCCTTTGAAACTCCATGACACTTGTGCTGCAACACTGCTTAAATGCTTTTTAAACACAGTATGACATAACTGAAGCAAAAAAAAAAAATCAGTGAGCAATATCCTACTTTAAAAAATTTTAGTGCAAAACCTGCACCGACCACTACATCCTTGACCCTTCTGTTTTCAACACTGGTGTGATACTAACTATAGCTCTTATTTTTCACCAGGCGCTAGAGGCATTTCCTTGCTCCATCATCAGATCAATGTGAAGAATAGCATAGTTTTAGCTTTCCTTATATTCAGTTCAGTAACAATAACATGCTTATTGTATCAAGGCTTTTACACATGAAGGCTATTTTTAATTAAAAAAGAATAGTTAAAAACTTTGAGTCAAGTTGTATCCAAGAAATTAGAGGCAAGAAGTGGTTAAACAATCTCTTAGACAGGATAAAAGGAAACCTACCTTTAATCAATAACGGGAAGATGTACGCCCACAGATAGAGACCAGAATAAAGAAATCCCAGACACTTCTTAGAAAACATTGTCAAAATAGAACTAAAGTGCCCGTTTGAAAAGAGGGATTTGGAAAAGCAAAGGAACAGAAGGTAAGAAGATGCATCAGACAACCAGATCAAGAATGGGTTCAGTGAGGCAAAGCAATATCCACAGCTAGATGGCTCTTAACAAAGGTTCACTGTTGCTCCCACAGTCACGGGAAACTGATTGCTCACGCTGTGCACACAGAAGAGAATCAAATGAAAAGTGTCAGGTGACTTAGCACATTTCCAGCTGCCCTGCATGCTTTCCAGGTGATGTGTGTGTGTGCATGAAATAGAGACAGCAAGACAGAGCAATCGAGAGAAAGTGAGTGAGAGAGGATTGTCAGAACAGCAGGGCAGCTTTGCCTGTCAGAGAGGGTGGATAACCATCAGCAGTTAGGAGCCCAGCCCAGCCCAGCCCCTGACTGTACAAGGTTTGCCCACAAAGGAACATCTCACTTTGTTCTGGGGTGTGGTTTGTAAGTCTAGCAAAACATGCAAAGGAAATAACTCCACTTCTGTAGTGAAGGAACATTTCTGCAGAAGGCAAAATGCGTGTTATCAAGATTAGAAACCTCAACAGTAAAATACACACACCTCACTGCGGGCTGTAAGTGTTTGTCAGCTTTTAGTGATGTGACATATGATATGATATGATACAAAATTGGTGACTAAAGCTGGGCAGAAATTTTCCTTCAAAATTTTTTCCAACTGAAGATAGAGTTTCCACACAATAGATTATTTTTTGTTGTTGTTGCAAATTTCAATTTTGCCTTTTTTTTTTTTTTTTTTTGGTTTT